AGCAACAGCAACATTGTGTGATGACCAACTTTGACAGACTTAGCTCTTCTCAGCAATGCAAGGATCTAAGACAAATCCAAAAAACTCATTACGGAAAATGCTGTCCACATCCAGAAAGAGAACTATGGAGTCTGAATGCTGATCGAAGCATATCATTTGCTCTCTCTCTTTTTGTTTTCCTTCTTTCTCGTGATTTCTCCCATTGGTTCTAATTCTTCTTACAACATGACTAATGTGAAAATAGGTTTAATATGAATGTACATATTGAGCCTATATAAATTTACATGCCATCTTGGGGTAGGGGGAGGGGAGAGATGGGGAGAAAATTTGGAACTCAAAATCTTATGGAAGTGAATGTTGAAAACTAGAAATAAATAAATTTATTTTTAAAAAATTACTCTAAACAAATTCTAGAGCAGCAGAACCCACAGAAAGACAGAGTAAAACAAATTTCCAGCCCAAGACAGCCTGAAAGGTGGACAGTAAAGGTCTGTTGCACCAGGGTGAGAGAGGTGTGAAGTCCAGCAAAGTCTGGGCCCGTGCAGACTAGGCCATGGAAGACCGGCCCCCAGCAAACTCGGAGCAGGCCTGAGGGTAACTGAATCACTGGCAGCAGTGGCTTCTCAGCCCACAGACACCAGGGACAACTTAGAAGGTCAACATAAAAGGTCTGTCAGACCTGAGTGAGACAGGCCTGGCCAGCACAGCCCTGGCCCCAGCAAACCAGGAGCAGGCCTTAGGAGTGACTGAATCAGGAGTGGCAGCAGCAGCGGCTGCTTCCAGAGATCTCAGCCCATAAATGGTCAGGGGGCTGAACAACTGGTCACAAGATTACAAGGGTCTGTTTGCTAGCACTGAGGCAGGACTTGGATCCAGGTCACAGTCCTGGGTGGTGGTCCCAGGGCAAGGAGGAGCACTAGCACACCAGAGCTTGTGGCCATAGTGGAACAGGGACCCTCCTCACAGTTCCAGGGCAGAAAGGGGTGCTTGTGGTCACTCACAGACCAGAACACAGGCCAAGAGAGGAGTAAACACCTCTCCTTAGATCATACCACTTTGGAAAAATTGAAAACTTACAGGTCCCTACAAGCATCTCTGAAAACAGTTGCACAAAACCCATGAAGCTTGGGACAGTACATTCTCCACACTGAAAGCAGAGCCCTACCTTAACAGAGTTAGAAAGTCAAGTAATAGGCTGGGAAAACGAGCAAACAATGGGGAAAAAACTCTGACTATAGAACCTTACTTTGGCAACAAGGAAGATCAAAACACACACTCAGAAAAAGACAACAAAGTAAAAGCACCCAAAGCCTCCAAGAAATATATGAATATATATCAGGCCATGGAAGAGCTCAAAAAGGATTTTTAAAAGCAAGTAAGGGAAGTAGAGAAAAATTTGGAAGATAAATGAGACTGATGCAAGAAAATCATGAAAAACAAGTCAACAGCTTGCTAAAGCAGACACACAAAAAAATTACTGAAGAAAATAACAACTTAAAAAACATACTAGGCCAAATGGTAAAAGAGGTCCAGAAAGCCAATGAGAAGAATCCCTTAAAAAGCAGAATTGGTGAAAGGGAAAAAGAAGTCCAAAAGCTCACTGAAGAAAATACTTCCTTAAAAATTAGAATGAAGCAAATGAAAGCTAATGACTATGAGAAATCAAGAAATCTTAAAAGAAAAACAAAACAATGAAAAAATAGGAGACAGTGTGAAATATCTCACTGGAATAACAATGGACCTGGAAAATAGATCCAGGAGAGATAATTTTAAAATGATTGGATTTCCTGTAAGCCATGATCAAAAAAAGAGCCTGGACATCATCTTTCAAGAAATTATCAAGGAAAATTGCCCTGATCTTCTAGAACCAGAGGGTAAAATAAAAATTGAAATAATCCACCAATCACCTCCTGAAAGAGATACCAAAATGAAAACTTCCAGGAATATTATAGCCAAATTCCAGAGTTCCCAGGTCAAGGAGAAAATATTGCAGGCAGCCAGAAAGAAACAATTCAAGTATTGTGGAAACACAATCAGGATAACACAAGATTTAGCAGCTTCTATATTAAGGGACCGGAGGGCATCAAATATGATATTCCAGAGGGCAAAGGAGATAGGATTACAACTAAGAATCACCTACCCAGCAAAACTGAGTATAATCCTTCAGGGAAAACAATAGTCATTCCGTGACATAGGGGATTTTCAAGCATTTTTGATGAAAAGACCAGAGCTGAATAGAAAATTTGACTTTCATATACAAGACTTAAGTGAAACATGGAAGAGGTAAACAGGAAAGAGAAATCATAAGAGCCTTATTAAGGTTGAACTGTTTACATTCCTGCATGGAAAGAGGATATTTGTAACTAATGAGTCCTTTGTCAGTATTAGGGTAGTGGGAGGGAAAAACATTATATGTATGTATAGATAGATAGATAAATAGATAGATGGATGGATGGATGGCACAGGGTGAGTTGAAGATGAAGGGGTGATATCTGGAAAATAAAATTAAGGGGTGAGAGAGGATTATACTGGGAGAAGGAGAAAGGAA